TCATTTTATTTCTAAATAAACAAGAAGTGAATGCTTTCTGAGTGTAGGAAGACATGGCCTTAAAGCATTCTAATGCTTACTAGGTTGTCTCTTCTTTTTTTATTGAATGATAGTTGACATACAATATTGTATTAGTTTCAGGTGTACAACATAGTGATTTGACATTAATATACATTATAAAGTGACCACCCTAATAAGACTAATAACCATCTGTCACTATACAAAGTTATTACAATATCGTTGACCATGTTCCCTGTGCTCTACATTCCATTCCCATGACCTATTTATTCTCTGACTAGAAGTTGGTACTCTTAATCCCCTTCACTTATTTTACTCTTCCCCCAACCTCATCCCCTCTTGAAACCACCACATTGTTCTCTGTATCTATGAGTTTGTTCCTGTTTTGTTTTGTTTGTTTTGTTTCTTTAGATACCACAGGTAAGTGAAATCATAAGGTATTGTTTTTCTATCTGGCTTACTTCACTTAGCATAATGCTCTCTAGATTTGTTCATGTTGTTGCAAATGGCAAGATTTCATTTCTTTTTTATGGCTGAGTAATATTCCATTGTAATATATACAACAGTTTCTTTATCCATTCACCTGCCAAAGGACACTTAGGCTGCTTCCATAGCCTGGCTTTTGTAAATAATGCTGCAGTGAACACGGGGTGCACATATCTTTTCGAATTAGTGTTTTTGTTTTCTTTGGATAAATATCCAGAATTCGTATTGCTCAATCGTATGGTAGTTCTATTTTTAATTTTTTGAGGAACTTCCAAACTGTTTTCCTTGGTGGCTGCACCGATTTGCATTCCTACCAAGATGGCATGAGGGTTCCTTTTTCTTCACATCCTATAGCTCTGTAGTGTAGTTTGAAATCAGGGACCATGATACAGAGCTCTGTTCCTCTTTCTTAAGATTGCTTTGGCTATTTGGGGTCTTTTATGGTTCCATACAAATTTTAGGATTATTTGTTCTAGTTCTGTGAAAAATGCTGTTGATATTTTAATAGTGACTGCATTGAATCTGTAAATTGCTTTGGGTAGTATGGACGTTTTAACAATATTAATTCTTCTGATCCATGAGGACAGTACACTATTCCATTTATTTGTATTATTTTCAATTTCTTTCATCAATGTCTTATAGCTTTCAGAGGACAGGTCTTTCACATTCTTGGCTAAATTTATTCCTGGGTATTTTATTCTTTTTGATGTAATTGTAAATGGATTGTTTTCTAAATTTCTCTTTCCGATAGTCACCTGAGAGCAATTTTGTACCATGAAAATTGCACATTGTTAGTGTACCCATGTTGTTTATCTTTTAGCTGGAAATGGATTTAGTATTTTCTGAGGCTCTACTCAACTTATGGTCTAACTCTGAGAGAGAGCGAGAGCAGAGACAGAGACAGAGAAATTGGGGGGTGGTTATGGGACAAGATGGGAAACTTGCCTAAGGTGAAAGGAGTAACAACAAGAAATAAAAAGTCTAGGTAATTAGTTCTCAATAGCCATCTTCTCTTTTCTGCCATATAGAAATCATGAAGAAATATGTAAAAATTAAAAATGATATGAACCAACATTTTATTCAAGAAGCTTGTTCTATTCAAATCTAGAATGTCACGAAGAAAATCTACATATACATGAAAAAACAGAGGTAGAAAAGAAAATTCAACCTTGATTAATTTTCTCCCTCAGTCCTCATCCTCTTTATTATTTCTGCATCTTGAACTATTTTAACTAAACTTCTTTGAAAATTTCCTCTATTAGATTCTCTGATATAAGTAAAATTACCTTAGAATGACTTCTTTTTATCCTGCCATCTTGAAAATGTAACCATTTCCTAAAGTTCTTCTTCCCTGAAGACTCTTCCTGTCTCCTTCTACATTCCTCTATTTAGGAAACACAATCATTTCCATTGCCTCAATTATCACACTTATGGCAATGACTCCCAGATACAACTCTTAATGCCTGATCCTAGTTCCCTAGTTGGAATAACACACTCAACATTTCTACACTTTTGCATTTCAACCAAGTTTTCAGTTTCTTAATTCAAAAAATTAGATTCCTATTTTTCTCCCATTTTACTCTCAATTTTATGACTAGTTCCCCAATCTCAATGCCTTTTACATTACACATCCTCCTTCCCATTCTTATTGACATGACCCTGGTTCACACCTTTTGTTTTCCCTGCCTTGACTGCCAGAACCACCCCTCCTGTCTTTTCTTTCCCCCCTCGTATTTATCCATCCTACACACTGTGGTCAGATTAGTCTACCCAAAGCACTACTGAGACGCTCTTTGCAAATAGAAAACCTGATCTCTACTTTAAGGTGCATTTGAAACGTCACTTCCTCCATGGCATTTTTCTTGATACACATATTATTTATAACATCTTCCCCCTTTTGTACCCCATAAAATTTTGTGTATGTGTGTTTTTATGTCAATTGTCTTACCCCTACAGCTATTTATGTGGAAAAGCACACAGAAAAGAGAAATTCAAAATTTTCAAAAAACCAATATGACAAATGAATCCAGGTATCCCGTGATTATAGTTGGCATTCTGTGTTTACATGAACTTTCAACAAAACTATTAATTTGATGGCTCTGTTTTTCAACATCTTTTGAATTCTAATTCATTCTTTCAAATGTTAGGCATCAAGAATGAACTCCCATAATTATTCAAAAATTATGCCATCCAGTAGATTTTCACCATTCTAGAAAATGATAATTTGGTACAAAACGATTGCAAATAGAAAGAGTGAGAGAAGACATGGAACTCAATCTGTATGTTCTACTACAGTTTTGTGAACTTTGAATTAAATTTATGAAGAAAAGCAGCTCATTTTTGCGTTATATGGAACCTGTCCAAAATGAATCCTCAGTGAACTGTGATTCCTAAAGCCTGCACAAAAGCCCAGTTCTAATGATGAACACTAACCTCCACTCCCGTTTTTTAGCCTGCTGTCACTGATCACTTTTTAAACGGTTGCAAAAGTCACAATGACCCAACTCCCAGAAAAAAAAAATGTCCCGCTAAAATCAAGGGTATAGCTAGCTCATTTATACCAATGAGAAATACCAATATTCTTTAAAGCTATTTCTCATCCCTGTAGATGTGGCATCATTGAAAAGCTAGCAGCCCAACAAAATGATATTGTTTTTTGGCATTTTCATGGTACAAAATTGCTCCCAAGTGACTGGCAATCTAAAAGACGGGTTATCTCTAAAAAGAGCTTCAACCGGAAGTCAGCACATTTCGAGTCCATGTGACTGTGGCCACAGTAACCAACAGCTTGCTTAGCTTTATCCCCACGACTTTGTTTTCCCTAAGAAGTATGCTAATTTAAATTAAACATTCAACTTAAATACCTTAAGTGAGAAATAAAGAGGTCTGATGAGGGAACAGAGAAAGTTGAGTAGAAGGGAAAGAGTACTTACAACCAAATCTTTGTGTGAACAGTGCCAAAAACAAGACATAAGGCAATGCCAAACCCAATGTCTGCAAGCTTCACAACAGTGCTGTCTCTCTTCACTTTTCTTCTTCTTCTTCTTTTTTGGTGTAGAAGATTGTCGCTGAGCTAACATCTGTGCCAATCTCCCTCTATTTTACATGGGATGCCATCACAGTGTGGCTTGACTAGCAGTGCTAGGTCCACGCCCGAGATCTGAACCTGCAAACCCCGGCCGCTGAAGTGGAGTGCACAAACTTAACCACTATGCCACCAGCCAGCCCCTCCCTTCACTTTTTTGGAAAAAAACTGAAACCTCTTTAGTTACTTAATTCTTACAGGCAAACATTTTATGGCAAAGTGGAAATTTCAGCTAGAAATATAAATTCTTTAGATTTTTGGGATAGGGAAAATTCTGAAGTAATCTAGAACATACCAATACAGAATCTCTCAAATTCTTTTCTGCGGTTTATTCCTTTTTCTAATAAGAGTTCCCTAGATTTTTGAAAACCCTAACTAGTCCCAGTCAAAACTTTGAATTTTTAATTCACCTTGCTAATATTCTTGTACAATATTTATAATTTACAGAGTGCTGAGACTTTTGGTAAATGACCCATAAGATACTATTACACTTAACTCCTAGAATGTTTACTTAAAGCAATAAAGTTGGAAAAATCTGAACTTCATTCCCTGTAGAATTCTTGCTTAAAAACAAGAAATGCCTCTTTCTCTTTTTCTCCCTCCTATAACCCCACTCCAAAAGCCACTTCGCTTTGTTAACTTTCATGGCATGTATACTCACCACAGCCTTCAACACCTGAAAAATTAGCGGAAGAATTTGACTGATTATAGAGGCTGTTTTCCTTGTTCCACGGCTTGTTCTAAAAGGGATACTCAGCAGAACTTGCATTTTTTTCTTTCATTTTGTGCTGTCTGCATGAGTAATTACCTCCCTGATTTCTGAGATGCAATTGAGTAGCTTCCACATTAGAAAAATCCAAAGATTGATAGAGCCATCGCTCCTAAAGAATTAGTTTGCTGCTGTAATTCCGCGGAGTAGGTCATTCAAATAGCAAAATGCTACAAAGTTTAATTTCTCCTGTTTTTAAAAGCCAGATATTGTTACCAATTTCAGGGAAACTAGAAAGGTCCCATGAGTCGTTTAAGCAGGTGATGATCTTTAAAATTCCCCTGAGGGCTTGTTTCCTGCCTTCATAGAATGTGTCATCCCAGAAGGCAGTTTTGTGATAACCAAGGTGCAGAGTACACTTTCTTGAAAAACAAAGCTTATGATAATTAATCTACTCATCTGTTAATTATAATTCCTGATTATTTGTACTGATAGCTTCATAGCAAGCTGAAATCAAGTAGGCAAACCTCTCGGCAGTATTTGAGCTATGAAGAAGCTTTATACCTGGTTCAAAGAGGAAGAATTACTTCTTTTAAAACAGTTGTCATCATTGGATAGGGTAGCTTGTCTTAGTCAAGTTGGGCTGCAATAACAAAATACTACAGACTGGGTGGCTTAAACAATGGCCATATATTTTCTCACCATCTGAAGGCTGGAAGTCTGAGATCAGGATGCCAGCATGGTCAGGCTCTTGTGAGAAGGTTTTTTCCTGCTTACAGATGGCTGTGTTCTTACTCTGCCCTCACATGGCAGAGAGAGAGATCTCCAGTGTCTCTTCCTCTTTTATGAGGACACCGGTTCTTTCAGATCAGGGCTCCACCTTTATGATCTCATTTAGTCTTAGTCACCTCCTTAAAGGACCCATCTCCAATAGAGATATATGGGGGGGCGGTAGGGCCTCAACATGTGAATTGTGGGGGGCACCCATTCAGTCTGTAGCATAGCTCAAAGAAAAATAAATATCCAGTGAATTTTCACATATTTATATGCTCAAAAACTGTGTAATTCCAAACTCATGTTATGAGTGGAATCAGTGCTTGGACTCTGGTTCTGCCTGTTTTTCCTTATTTTTTTTTTAACTAATCAGTCTGGTGGTCCTGTATCAGGCAAGTATCTGACACGTATACTACAGAGATTGCAAAAACCATTACAAATAAAATTATTTGCAGCTAGCCAAAGAAAACGGAATGAAGTTTTGTTTATTCCCTAGTACTTTTCAAGTTAGCTTATTTATTATATTTATAAGCTTATTTAATTTGTTGCAGATGTTCAGGGGAAGTTTTTGTAAGCATTCACTGTTAGAGTGTTTTTTCATAAAATCTATTTTCCAAATGTCTGAATAATGACAAAAGACCTCCTAACAGAATATTAGGCCAGGAAATTCATCTAAACATCACAACTGTAATCATATATAGTATAAGCTGTAGTTGTTGTCTGATTAATTTTGGCTCCGTATAATGTTGTTGGAATAATTACTTTTGACTCAATTTTTTTTTCTCTTATTTAAAAGTATACACCAAAGTGGAGAGGACACAGGAAGAAATGATGGCATCTTAAACTAAATCCTTAATGAAATCAAAGAGTTTAGCTTTCAGGTAATCTTACAAAGATGTGCTGGTCTCTTCTAGCACTATTGAAAATAGACAGATTTTCTAGATGGAATGACGGTGGTTTTGTTTTAATTTAAATATTTATTTTTGCTTTAGGTAGTCTGGGGGGTATTTGTTTTTTAAAGGTTTTCTGTTATATTATTTATTCTTGGCTTTTAAAATTAGTTCTGCTCCATAGTTTGAGAGGCAAGATCTTTGTAAGTTAGTTGCACATTTAATTAATTGAAATTCAACCTCCCAAGACACACTGCAGATGCTCTACATATTTAGCACAGTGTCTTCTCCCAGCTGTACTAATCTGGGCCGTAACACTGCCCCGTAGCTAAACATCTGGACAGAGCTAGAAACCAGAATAATAAACGGTTTCAGAATTCTATCAGACAGTTGCCTACAGGTGACATCGCAAGATGTAAAAACAGAAGAAAAAAAATTATATACATTTGTTGCCAAATATAATAACTTGAAAGACAGATCATACAAATTTCACATTACTGCTGTCAACAAATTTAACTTAAAGCAACAAAATTTTACATTTGATAACTTGCTGTCAGATTGCATAGTACAAAATCTTCGAGTTTCAACAGGGATGAGGTAGTACAGTTATAAAAATTGCACCACATTTTGAAGAGGCGAAGGAAGGCACTGGCACGCTTACCATTTAGTACTTATGTCGGGAATAAAGTTCCATTTCCTAGAGAGCAATATGTCAAAAAAAATGTTCCCATGCCTTAATCCTGCCCATTGCATTAAGACACCATTGATTTCACTGCAAGAATTGTGAGAACTAGCTGCTTACTTCTGAAGATTCTATCAGGAAGGCGTGTTTTTCTATCTGTACATTATTTGTTTTCACTCTAACATAGAGAAGTTGAAAAGATTTCTACGCCACTTGCTTTGGATGTCTGGGTTCCAGGAAAACCAAACAACTTTAACATTCATGTTCCCAGGGTAAGTTTAGGAATTTTGATGATACAAAGGAAGAATAAAGAATGTCTCATGCCTAATGGCAAATTGCCATTGTAATAGATAGGAATTCAGAGACTATAGTTATCTGACAAACACATTTCTTCTAGACAGATTAATCGGAAAAGTCTTTCCCAATTTCAGATTAGAAAATAGGAACAACCAAGTAAATGTAGTAGTCAAATAATTTGAACCTAAAATTAATGTAACCAATGCATGTAAAATAGGATAATTGAAACTCTAGCTTGATTCTGCAGGAAAATATTTTCAAATGTCTATTCAGAAAATATTTTTTTTCCTCCATGCCAACCCATAACTCACTAATTAAAATCTCTAGGAAATTTGAGAAGAAATATTATAAAACTTTTTTTTAGATTTGTCATTCCATGATTAGGCATAAACATTTATAGTTCAGAGCTCTTTTTCACGCTTTCAATGTTATTTCAAATCTGTCTAAGCAACTGAGGATTTAAGGCTTTCTTAAAGCTATAAACTTAGATGTAAACATCCATGGAGGACAACATTGTTCTCTTAAGCTATTAGGCCAGGATATTTTTTCTATCGTTGCTTTCAGAAGATTTTATCTCCTTTATATTCAAACGAAAAGGGTGTTTTCCTACAAATAAAATTTGAGGGAGATTTGACATTTTTATTGTCCTTTCCCTTGCAGAATTTAGCCGTCAAGTGTGTGCTAAGAACTCAAATATCACTGTAGATGAAATCCATGTACCAAAAATTTACAATTTGACAAAGAAGGAGAAAAGAAGACCCTTAACGCTAGCAGTTACTGAGTATTTTTTTCACAGTAATAAAAAAATAACAAGTTTTGAAAAATTTGTTTAAAAAGATATCAGTTGAGGAGGTGGGCCCAGTGGGGTAGCAGTTAGGTTCACACGCTCCGCTTCCATGGTCTGGGGGTCGCTGGTTTGGATCTTGGGTGCAGACCTATGCACAGCTCATCAAGCCATGCTGAGGCAGGCATCCCACATATAAAGTAGAGGAAGATGGGTGGATGTTAGCTCAGGGCTAATTTTCCTCAAAAAAAAACTGTATCAAATGAGGAAAAAGGATTTTCTCATTCCAACATTCAGTGTCTCCATTGAAAGATGGCCCAGGATTTGGAAAGTAGAAGAGCTCTAAAAAAATCCTATCAGAGGATAAGGGTCATATCTACATAAGACCCAGGAAATTAAAATTACTTTATATGGTAAAATTACTTTATATGGTCGTAACTATAGGAAAATATCAGAAAGAATAAGTGGAACAGAATAAAATATATACAATGGAGCTAGCATTTATTTACTTAATGTACAAACCCACTTATGTCTGTTTGTACACAACTATATAGCTAAAAAGGTAAGTAAATTGATAGATAGATGTATATGGATATCTAACTATATCCACAAATCTATGTATATATTTTTTCGTGAGCTAAAGTCTAATTTCTAGTTGAAATTAACATAGAATATCTCCTTTAGCTAACAAGAAACAAATCTTATTTATATAAGTGTAATAGTCAGTTAATATTTTATACTTATTTCAAAATACTTCATTGTAAGTATATTAGGTGGCATGCTCCCCAAATATAAAACTTGTTAAGACAAGAATATGTATGGAAAATAGTCTTGTCAATTTAGTCCGGATAACATACTTGACTCAAACTATTATCTGGAAACTATCCAGCCCAGATAACAATACGTATAGGGGGTATGTTCAACAACATATTTATAACTTTTGTAAATAATTAATTGGGAAAGATTAATCCCAAATTATGGAATAAGGGCTATAATCAAAACATTATATGCGCACACGTAAAGTATTTGTGCATGTATTTATATATTATATATACTTACACAGTATATACACCTACATAATATATTTTAAAATAATATATTTTACATGTAAAATATAAATATATATACTGATTTGTAATGGGATGGCTTAGACAGATTAGAACTAAGATTTGGATATGATGGTGACAGCAAAGAGATCATTGAACACACAGAGAGAAGAGTAGCTAAGGGTACGCCTTCCCCAAGCGCTTGTCTCTCTGACTGTCATGCTGTTCCTTGAGCACCTCAGGTATGTTCCCACCTTAAGCCATTGGAGAAGCTGTGCTGTCTCCCTGGAATGTTCTTCCACCATATGAAAGCAGTTTTCTTTTTACCTTCTTCAAATTTTGTTCAGTTTTCCACTTTCCAATAAGAATTTTTCTGACCATCCTATTTAAAATTGCTCTTTTGCAACCCCAATCCCTGTACTTCCAGTGTCCCTTACTTGTTTGTTCTAGGTTTACTGTCCTATTGTTATTATTGCTATTTTTCATCGGGACCTCTTGTAACTTTCTAACATGCTATACAACTTACTAAGTTTACTGTCTACTTTCCATCCACCAAAAAGTAAGCTCACTGAATATACCTTTAAAGACCTTATCCTTTCAAATGTTCTGAAAAATATCTACTACAGCATTCATGGTCACAAGAATGGCATCTCTCTCTTCATACTAAGCTGTCATCTCTCATTCTTGCTCTAAGCCCCCAAGGTCTCTCTGGTAAAGGGTTATAATTTAGTGGATGACAGCATCTTCCAGATGAATTCTAACTTCTGAAATATCTTCATATGTGTAAGGCTCACATCCTATGATACTTCTACTATAATACTTTCAAACAATCTTCTCTGGCTACACCCAACTCTGTTTTTCTATCTCACTATTTCATGTCTACTTATTCTATAGGCCATATACATCAGATGAGATTCTCCTGTGAAAATACGACACCTTCATGGTCTGAGGCTATGAAGGATTTAAGACATAGAGGTGGCATATCCACCTTTGTAAAATGTAAATTCTCTGCATTCCTTTAATAAAAAGTAACACCTCACATTTCTACAGCATTTTATTTCATCGGGTTTTCACAAAACAGTTAGGGAAGATATCATCAGTCTTTATTTTTCAGATGAGGAAACAGGGATTTAAATAAATTAGGCTTCCCAGGGTCAAATTTCTAGGGAGTGAAGGAACTGGGACTATAATACGTCTTCTAGCTTCTAATCCAATGCTGTTTTTTCTAAATCATTCTGCTACCCTTACATCAAAGGCCAAATCATAGCAACTCTGATGTACTGAGGGCACTGATATCGATTTGAGGGCAACCTGAACTAACACTGATTCCAATTCATTCCTGGTTTGTTCTACTTGTGTTTCTGTAGCTTTTAAATTGCATCATT